TGCTCCGGGGGGCCCCCCGCGACCTCGAAGGCCCCCCGGACCCCCCTCACGGGCTGCTGCTGCAGCACGAACGGCAGCAGCAGCAGCAGCAGCAGCAGCGCCGGACCATTGCGAGCCCTCATGCCGCTTACCTGCAGTTACCTATCGCCCGCTCCCGCGGCCCCCCTTCCCCTATTTCAGTTCTTACAGACTTCGCGAAACGCTGTCAATAAAACGCGGTCAACAAAGCTTAAAAAATGGGAGGGAGGCACTCAGCAGCAGCAATCACAGCCAGAGGCGCAGCGCTCCCGCTGCTGCTCCCGCTGCTGCTGCTCCTGCTGCTACTGCTGCTGCTGCTGCTGGGAACAGCTTCGCCAGAGGCTCAGATATTCCGAAGCGGCAAAAAGAGGGCCGCCGAGGCCATGGAATTTACAGAAGGCCGGGTGTTTAGAAGCAGCACTGGCGAAGCAACGGGCGCTGCTGGCGGCGTTGCTGGTGCAGCCGTTGCTGCTGCCGGCTGTTGCAGCCCGAGGGCTGGAGATGAAAAAACTGACGCAAATCTAATGGAGAAAAAAAGACGAAGGAAGGATCCGCTTGCTTGCGGAGATCAAGAAGGCCTCGCGGTGTCTGCGACTGCAGCGGCAGCAGCGTCAGCAAAGGGCAGCAGGACTTGTTACCCACATAAGTGTTGAGATACGGCCAGGCCCAGCTACACCTGGCCAATATATAAGAGAAGGATTTGGGGGCAGACAAAGAACAGCAAACCCCGACGGAGAAGGCATGGGAGCAGCGCCCAGCTGATCGGCGGCGAAGCAGCAGCAGCTCCTGCAGCGCCTGCCTATTAAAGCCGCCCTTTCCGTGTCAGCAAGCCTTTACCATTATTATTTAGCGCCAGCCGCAGCTTTTTAACCATAGGCGGCAGCTAGCGGCTTCCGTTCCCAGCGCAGCGCCGGCAATGGCATCGCAGCAAGACTGCTCTGTGTCCCGTGGGCTGGCTGCTGCTGCTGTCCGCAGCAGCCCGTCACCTCACGCCTCTGCGTTTCTTTGATTTTCTTTGCATTTTCCCCAGCTTGTTGCGGCTAAAATGTCCCTGAAAAGCTGCTGAAGCTGCTGTTACTGCGGACGAGCGCCCCGGGAGCCGCAGGCGGAATAGCAGCACAGCCAAACGCAGCCACGGTGCGCACTGCCCCAGACACCGCCTCAGCCTCCAGAAGACTCCCAGGCATAATTTTATTACAAGTCTTCAGTTTAGAACACCGCCAGGGGCTCCCCTTGTGGCGCTGCACGCTGTTTCCGGCGAAGTCGCCCGGTGCTGCCTTCTCGAGCGAGCGCCGCTGGCAGCAGTTCGCCATTGAATCGGCTCCACTGTTTTCGCTATAAAGCTCTGAAACTGAAACTTAGCAGCAACTGAAATGCACACAAGCCGCACAGACGGCTGAAGACCCCAAGACTGCGCGGGCTAGCCCACGAGCCCGCTGCGGGGAGGCCCTTTGGCCTGAAACAGGAGGTCGCTGCAGCACAAGACGGCCGCCCTGCAGCCCAGGGTGCCTTATAAGCATTTAGCTTTGCACAATTGCCTAGCACACGGCTGGGGGCCCCCACGAAGTTGCTGCAACCCCCACTAGCTAGGGAAGCTTGGTGGCAGCAGCGGAAAGCCAGTGCTGGGAGGCTGACTGGGCTCACTGCGCCTGAAATTGTGTTTGTAGCAAAGCCCAGGGCCACGGAAATTCAGGTGAAGTGGTCTTTCTGTGAGACTGCAGCAGCAGGGCAGCCTTGCACTCTATTAGGCTCACCCAGAAGCCTGCTACTCCCTCATGGGCACCAATCAGAAGCTATTTTGTAACCCAACACTGCAAAGAGCCCTTGAGATCTTAGCAGTCGTTGCTGCTGCCAGTGTATCTGGGGCTCCTGTGGCCCAAGAGCTAGCCAGGGAAACGAACTGGCAGATTTTGATCCGAGCCAGTGCTGCTTTCTTCTTACACCCCAAAGTCGCCTCCGAGCAGCAGAGGCTGCCTGCACTGACTCGCAGCTCAATGAAACTCAGAACCGCAGCATCAACTTGCAAAAGCAGTCCTTCACTTTCTGCTCAAAGACCACTGGGGCTCCATTCCACGCAGTGGCTGCACAGCCCAGTTAGACGCAAGTTATAGGCCGAGATGGGAAGACAGTCTTGGATTTTCGCCGCATGCAGTCTCGAACTGTTTAAATTAATGTGCTTCTTGAAAATAAAATGATAATAAAACCAGTTTACATGCTAGAATGGGCCCTGTCTCCACTTTAGTATCCCCATTTTGCTTCCCTTTTACCCCTTCGGCGCTTGCCGTGTGGCCTTCTATTGCCCTGGGAAAAATCTCTACTTCTGCGCTGCGCTGCAGCTCCGCTCCCTTCTAGGCAGCTGAGCTGTTTAGGCAGGGCAAGTTGCAAGCAGCAAATGCAGCAACAGAGGGAGAATAAGGAAACACAGGAATACAGCTAGAAAAAGGCAACGGGGAGGCATGTAGGGCAATAAACAGCCCGAAATAGAGCCAGAAAAAGAGTACTGAGGATCAAAAGATATCACGCGTAATCTGCCAAATGCATCCAAGCGAAATTCGCCAAATAAATGCTTCCTTTAAGGCAATGGGTTGCTTGAGCGGGTTGAGAATTAGTAGGCTAATATGAGCCGACTTTGCATGCAGGGGATGGTGCTGTGAGCGGCAGCCGCTGCAGCCCAGCTAGTCAAAAGAATGCTGGCTTAACTAGAGGCTTATAAAGTTGAGTTCCAATGTGGGTGGGTCCTGGGTAGCGAAGAAGAGCTGACGCGGCCTAGTGATGACTGCTGACTAGATGGCTGTGGAAGGCCAGCAAATGAGCCAAAAAATGCCAGAGTTCAACACCCCGGAGCCCCTTGCCAGCCCCCGTGCAGTCTTTGCAGCAAAAAAGTTTCCAGAGCAACAGTAGGTAAGGGTCTTTCCGCAGAAAGCCTGCGCCTACGAGCTGCCGTACTGGGCAGCTGCAGCTAAACTGTGCTATTAGGCAGAGGAAAAGGTCTTCCCTACTCTCTGCCCACTCAAATCTTTTTACAAATGGGAACAAAACTAAAAGGACAGAAAGCTGCTAAGGCAGAAACTAAAAAAGAGAGCAGCGAGGCTCCCTATCACTGCAGGCGGCCTCGTCTGGCCCGCCATTTGCCTCTGAGTTAAGACCCATGGAAGCCTGTGGCTGCATTCACATTGTTGCAGCTTGTGTGGCTGCAGCCACAGGCTGCATTTCATTTTGCTGCAGCCTGTGGCTGCAGCCAGTAACTGCATTTCATTCTGCTGCAGCCTGTGGCTACGGCCCAGCGTACTGTGCACTTGATAACTCAAGTTTCTAGGGCACCCGCTGAAGGTTGGAAAAAAAGAGCTTCCAAGCAGCGCAGCTGCATTTCATTTTTTATTTTCTTTCCTTCTTGTTCTCCTCTTTTGTCTTCGGCTTGAGGGGAAATTAAAAGGACTATTCCAATTCCTGAAGCGCAAGTCTTCGCAGTCTCGCAAATGACACTGCCTGGGCTAGCGCTCGCGTTAGCAGCAGGTAATAGGGCTGGGGGAACTTCCAAGCTGTAGCTAACTCTTCTGGAGGCCTCTGACTTCTCTAAAAAGAACTGTTACTTCTTCTCTTTATATTGAAAGTCGCAGCTTTCATCTGCAGTCTTGTCAGCCCCTGCAGCTCAGTGCCAGCACCAGCCCTTTGTCTAAAAAGCTCTGCTGTTTTCCCAGCCAAGACCTGCGCTGTGTGTTGTGGAAAACAAATAAAACCGAAAAAAGTGCAGCAGCTGCTCCAACGGAGGTTTCTGAGGGGTCAGATCTTTTGCCCAGGGCTTCGTTAGTGCGAAATGCACCATCTGAAATTGCTGCGCAAAGAATAAGCAGTTAGACGCGCTTGGCAAAGAAAAATAAAAGGCATTTAAAGAAGAAGAAGCAGCTGACTTGAAGGTGAAGCAACTGGCTTTGTTTCTTCATGTAACTGCTGAATACGGCGGCACCGCGAAATCCAAGTTGAAAGCAAAGACTGAGGCTAGGAGGCCTCTAAGGTAAAGATGCAAATCTTGTGCAATCATAGGCAAAGACTTATACGATTAAAATGCAAACCTGATGCATTCACAGCCAAGGACTTTTGTCTTCAGCCTGGGGAAATGGGCTGGCAAGGGAGAATCTGAAGCAGCAGCAGCAGACTACCGGCGACCTAGATACATTACACAGCATCTGCACGAGGGTGAAAACAATAGTAGCAGGAACAGAAGCTGCAGCAGCAGCAGCAAAAGGCTGCAGCCACCCCGGTTCTTCAGAAAATAGCGACTCATATGACGGCTTTGTTGCCCTGGACAAAGAGAAATGCTTCTATGGATTGATCTGCTGCTGTGTTTCGGCAAAGACAGTCGGCTGGGCTGCACTTCTTTGCTTATAATGCTGCCATTGGGGCACTTGCCGTGGAGGCCAAATGGTCTCAGTACAATCCACTCCACAGGTCACATCTGCCGCGAGGAGTCCTGTGGCTTTGAGGGGATTTTTTGCCTCCTAAAAGATTTAAAACGCATACTTGGGGCGAATTTGCTTGTCTCTTCGTGCTCAGAAGCCCCATGGTGCTCATTTGTAAGGAAAGCTGCAGGCCGTTTCTTAGATCCTTCGGTGCCCATCCTGGCTCCTGGCGGTGACTCCCAAGACTTAGTGCTGAGAAGAGGCCAAAGTAAACTCCTAGAGCCTCTACGATAGACAGAAATGATGTCTTGCGCAGCTTTGCACTATGTGGAACCCCAAGTTCAGAATTTCTGCGGTGGCAGAGCTGCCCAGACCGCTGCAGGGAAACGGCGGCGCAGCTCTGGGCTGGCGACTTCGGCCCATCTGAACCTGCAAGATGCCTTTTGATAATTTAGGCTGCTGAAGGAGATAATAAGTAAAGGTTTCACCCACTGGCTGCGGCATAAAAGCTGCACATAGTGGCTGCAGCGCAGCCGCAGGTGGACCGCAGCGGACTCACGCGGGCTGCTCTTGGCAAGGGAAGAACAGAGAGCTTTGTGCTCATTACGTGGAGATCCAGGAGACTAATAGGAGCTGGATTATACAGAGTAAACATAATTCAGTTTTTTTGGGAAAGATTCCGTGAAGAAGCCCCACGACACTGCTTGCAGGGTCGCACGTGGCAGCAGCTGCGAATGGCCCACGGTGCTGATCAGGCGGCGGGCGGAGCCTGTCTGCTGATATCTTCCGCTCTAAACTGCAGAAATACAACTAAGAAGGTGAGGCTGAGAGCATGCAGGGAGAGTCGTTGTTTATCCTTGTCAGTGCCTTTACCACACGCGTTTTTGGAATCCGCCGGCCGCTGAGTCTTGAATGGTCCATTCCTTCTGTGGCCGACTGCAGATAGCCTTAGAGGATTACTTTTCGATTTATTTTTCATTAGCAGCTCATTTCTACCGCTTTGCACGGCCCCGAGGCTCCGCCTACCGCCGCCGACGCTGCTGAATGCAAGACCAAGGGCGTCGCCGGCTGGCCACACCGATCCCTGTGCATCCCGCCGGCCTCGGGCCTCCAGCTGCATCTCAAGAACATCTTTGTGAGCACGGTGTTGGAAATAGCCGGAGATTTACTCCATAAAAGCCTTTTTCTCTGGGAAAACACTGGGCAGCAGTGGGCTGTCCAGTGTGGCCTCTACAGATGAAGAACCCAAGCGGACAAAGCCTTCTAGCCTGAGTTCCACAAGTCCAGTAGGGCTGCCCGGCGGTCAGAGGGGAACAGCAGCAGCAGCAGCAGCACGTAGAGCAGCAGCTGCAGCAGCCGCTGCCGAACAGACCGCAGCTTTGCAGCCCTCAGGGGCAAAACGATCTGCAGAAGAAGTGGCTGCAATGCAGGGCCATGAGGCAGTTTCGTGTGGCTCTGAGGAGGGCTTCTTGGCTGGGATAGACGTTGATGACTTCCTCTTTGTGCTGCTGGACTCGCTGCAGCCGTCCTTGCCGGACGCTGCAGCAGCAGCAGCAGCAGCAGCAGCGCCTGCAGCAGCTGCGGGGTCTAGGAACAATGCAAGTGCAGCAGCAGCCCGGCGACCCCACGCGGGCGCAACTGCAGTAGAGGGCTCTTCTTTGCTGCCGCTGCTGCGCGAGACCTGGAGGCCAGAAAAGCTGCTGCACGAGCTGCTGGAGGGGCCCCCGGCGGAGGCAGCAGGAGCAGCAGCAGCAGCTGCGGGGGCCCCCGCAGCCGCAGCAGAGCGGGACTTGGCACTGCGGGCAGCAGAGGCACAGCTAAGCGCCCCCATCTCGAGGCCCACGGGGCCCCTCTACTCCGCATGTCTTGCTGCAGGAGCTTCTTTGCTTTCTTTTGCTGCAGCAGACACAGGCCGCGTGGCTCTTGCAATAAGGGCTTTTCTTGAGGTCCGGCCTGCCACACAGGACCACCAGGTTGCGCTGCTGCTGCTGCTGCGGCTGCTGCTGTTCCGCTGGGCCCTCCACAGCCACCTGGGCCTCCCCCAGCTTCTTGCAAAGACCCAGGGGGCCCCCTGTGTGGAGTTCCGGGGACCCCACGGCTTGGCGGCCCTGCAGCCAGCAGGGGCAGCAGCAGCGGGGGCGCCCCTCGCAGCAGCAGCAGCAGCAGCAGGTGGCCGCCCGCAGGCTGCTGCAGCAACGTGGCTCGGGAAGGTTGCTGCACTTGCCATTCAAGAAGCTGCTGCACTTGCAGACGGCGACGAACGCCGCGAGTTGCTGCTGGAAGTGCTGCAGATCATTGCGCGCTGCGCCCCCCACATCGTCATATCTAAGTTAGTGAAGGCCACAAAGAAAGCAGGTGCGCTCCGCAACAGCAGCAGCAGCAGCAACGGCAGCAGCAGCAGCAAATGCGACACAGGCTCCTGTTGCATCGGCCGCGCCGTTCGCTGCTGAAAAGGCGTTTGCGCCCCTGCAGACGGGACTGCCTAGTCCAAATCTCCCTAACACGCTGCTGCTAGTTGCTTTTGCTGTTGCTGTTGCTGCTGCTGCTGCTGCTAATAAGTGCGCTTCGTGTGACTCCAGCGCTGCTGCTGCGGCGTGTGCTGCTGCAGCTTTAGTGTCTCCTGGGGCTCCGGAGGAGACGGCGACGGAGGGAGCAGCTTGCTGCTCGTTGCTGCTGCTACTGGAGAAGATCTTTTCCTCTTCGGGATGGCCAGCGATCTCTGTGTCTCTGACGAAGCAGGTGTTTGTGGTGCTGCTGCAGCTGCTGCTGCTGCCGCTGCAGCCGCAGGATGCTGCGGGCTCGCAGCGCCGCCTGTCTCTCCCCATCCGCTGGAGCATCTCGCTGCGGGCTGCAGAGGCCCTGAGTGCCTTTGCTGCAGCAGCAGCAACGGGAAACTGCCGTTCGCTGATGCTGGCTCTGCAGAAGCAGCAGCAAAAGCAGCAGCAGGAAGAGCAGCAGCAGCAGCGGCAGCAGCCCCTCTCCCCTGAAAACGACGCCGGCCGCAACGCCGTGGGGCTGCAGCGCTCGCTGGAAGAGGGCCTAGCAGCAGCAGCAGCAGCAGCAGCAGCAGCAGCACGTGGAGAGGGAGAACTGCCGCCAGGCGGCGAAGGCGGCTGCGGAATTGAATACCTTCCTTTGATGGCAGCAACAGCAGAAAGAGTCGTGTACATTTTGCTGCCTCGCATGCTGCTGGCTAGTGCTCCCCCAGGGGTCATTTCCGCGTTGCTACGAGCTGCTGCTATGCTGCTGCTGCTGCCTGTACACCTCAGCAGCCCCCTGATGCTCAGACACTGGGACGACGAGCAGTCGGGGATGGTGCGGCACGACCCCGTGCTGCTGCTGCTGCAGCTGCTGCTGCTGCACATTTGCAGCGAAATCTCCGGCGTCCCCGCAGCAGAGCTGCTGCAGGACGACCAGCAGCACGCGAGCAACCGCGTCGCAGCAGCAGCAGCAGCAGCAGCAGCAGCCAACATGCAGGACCAGCGCAAGGCTCTGCAGAAGCAGCGACAGCGGCTACTGGAGCAAGGCGGACTCGAGACAGCAGCAGCTGCTGCAGCAGCTGCAGCAGCAGACGAGGCTGAAGGTCAAGGGGGGGAAGCAGCGTACAAGCAGCGTCTGCTGCAGCACACGGATATGACCCTCTCTGAGCAGCAGGAGGAAGCAGCCCTCAACAGCAGCAGCAGCAGCAGCAGCAGCGGCAACGACAATGACTTGGGCGACGGCGTCAGACTTGAGGGCCCAAGAGCTGCTGCCTTCTTCATGCAAGCTGCTGCCTCTTTGTCCCACCTCACAGAAGTTCTTGCTGCAGGGCAGCAGCACTGGCGCACGGAGCAGCACGCAGCCGAGCTGCAGCAGCTGCTGCTGCTGCTGCTGCTGCATGCCAGCAGGCGCTCTCTCGCTCCCAGGGACCCCGTTGGAGATCTGCTGGCGGACGAGACTCTCAAACGAATGGTGGAGCCGTAAGGGGCTTCACCTAGACGATGCTGCTGCTGCCTCTGCTGCTGCTTGCTGCTGCTGCCGCTGCTGCTGCCGCTGCTGCTGCCGTTGCTGCTACCGTTGCTGTTGCTTCCGTTGTTGCAGCGACAGAGGCACCACGCATCTCCAAACAGTGCATCAAAAGCAACATTACGGAGGGCTGCAGCAGCTGCTCCTGTTGCTGCTGCTGCTATTGCTTCTGCTGCTACTACTGCTGCTGCTGCTGCACTTACGCCCCGCTAGGCTTGTGTCCAGACTGTGCAGGGCTCTTGGGGTGTATGTACACTCGATTTGCTTGTGTGTGAGTCAATGCGGCGTTGCAGCATCGTCTTTGCTGCAGTGTCTTCTCTTAGCGCTGTGCAGCTGCAGCACGAGGCGAAGACCGCGGGACTTTCCTCAGCATCAGCAGCAGCAGCAGCAGCAGCGACGGCAGCAGCAGCAGGCTGCATCACAGCGCCTCCCTGCGAGGGGTCACTTGCAGGGCTTTCTCTGATTTCGCCCATAGCTGCTCCTAGTCCCACTGCTGCTGCTGTTGCTGCTGCTTCCTGCAGCGACGCTGCGGCTCCTCCGTATCTGCAGCAGGTGGACTGGGTGCTGCAGGCTCTCGACCAGACAGCAGCAGCCGAAGCAGCAGCAGCACCACAAGAGAGACATAAAAGAGCTTTCAATGAACTCAGGTGGTGCTCCCCAGCATCTTTGTCCCTTGAGGGATCCCCGGACGGTTTGCTGCTGTCTGTTGCGGGGGGCGCTGCAGCACGGCGGCTGTCCCGTGCTGCTGCTGCTGCTGCAGCGCAGCAGCAGCAGCTGCTGCGGAACGGCGGCGCCGCGCGGCTCGTCACAGAGGGCCTGGCCCGGTTTCTGAACCTTCCTTTGTGCTGCGGAGGAGGCCTTGCTGCTGCTGCCCTGAACACAGCAGCAGACGTGTTTGCTGCTGCAGCAACGGCAACCAAACGCTCCGGTGGGCTACGAGGGGACCCGCAGCAGCAGCAGCGGCTGAGAGCCATACAGTGTGCTGCACTTGTCTTCATGGGCAGAGTAGCTGGTGAGGATGCACGGAGGTTGCTGCTGCTGCTGTCACTACCACTGTTGCCTCTGCTGCTGCTGCTGCTGCTGCTACTGTTGCTGCTGCTGCTGCTGCGTTGGCTGCTGCTGTTGCTGCTGCTACTGCTGCTGCTGCTGCTGCGGCGAACCTGTGTGTGTGCGCAGAAGCACAGAGGTGCGGCTGCCCCTCCCCCCGGCTGGCCCTCACGCCGTGGCAGCAGCCCAGCAGCATTTGCTGCTGTGCAGCGAGGTGGACGAGGCCCAGGGAGCAGCAGCTGCTGCGGCCGCCGCTGCAGCAGCAGCAGCAGCAGCAGGTCTACCTGGACCAGCAGGCGGAGGACACGCAGCAGCAGGAAACGGAGAGGATGCGGCTGTTGTGGGATAGAGCAGAGACAGCAGCAAAGTTTGTCTCTTGTCTCTTTAGTTTGGCAGCAAAAAAAAGACTTTCGCCATCTCAAGCTGCTGCTGTGCTGCAAGCTTGTCGATCTCTCGCGCTGTCGCGCCTGCTGCCTGTTGCTGCTGCCCACTTATCGGGGGAAGACGAGCAGCAGCAGCTGCTGCAGCTGCAGCAGTACCAGCTGCTGCAGCAACAGCAGCACTTTGCGAGGGGCGCTGACGTGGCCTCCGCCGGTATCGAGCAGCAGCGACAGCGGCAGCTGGTCAGCAGCAGCAGCAGCAGCAGCAGCAGCAGCGACAGCGGCTGCAGTGAGCTGCAGGTAACCATAGACTTCAAGCTCCCGCTGCTCTGCCCCCAAGAAATATCCTCTAGGTGGGACACAATGACTTTAGTGGATCCTGAAGGCAGCAGCAGCAGCTCAGAAGAGGAGCTGTACATACACCGCAGGCCTTCTCTTGGCCGCAGACGCAAACAGCCCTTTAGAAGAGAAGGGCTGCATGCAGCAGCAGCAGCAGCAGCTGGGGGCCCGTGGGGCCGCGCGGCGCAGCAACGCCTGCTGGCTGCAGCAGGAGAGGCGTCAGCAGCAGAAATGGCGGCTGCAGCGGGGCCCAGTGCAGCAGCAGCAGCAGCTGCTGCTGCTGCTGCGGCCTGGACTCACCCGCCCCCTGCAGCAATCTGTGGCATATTTGTCTTCGTGCTGCGGCTGCTTTGTCTCTCCCCATCCGACAGCAGCGACGAGGCAGCAGCCGCGGCGGCAGCAGCAGCAACAGCGAGATGGCCAGCGTCTTCGCCGCTGCAGCAGCAGCAGCAGCAGCAGCAGCTCGGGACCTCCCCAGCAGCAATCCTCAGGGAAGCTGCAGCTCACGTGCTCTTCAAAGTCCTCGCCCAAGACGCACCTGGTGAGTTTCTTCCATTTTGCTGCTGCTGCTCCGTCCCTTGTTGCTGCTAGGCAGTGGCGCTTCTGCAGTGCCCGAGCCCCACGCCACATGTAAACCCCGCTGCTGCTGCTGCTGCTGCTGCAGACCTGTTGTTCCCCGTGCTGCTGGAGTGCTTGGGCGTCGGCGTTTCGCTGCGGCCGGCGATGCCAGCAGTTTGTTCCTGTTTGGCATTAATGGCGGAGCGTGCTGCTGAGGCAGAGAGAGCAGCACCCGCAGCAGCAGCAGCAGCAGCAGCAGCGTCTGCTGCTGCTCTGTGCACCCCGCTGTGGGTGGCGCCTGCAGTGCCGCAGTCCCAAGTTGCTGCACTCTGCGAGCTGCTGCTGCATGCCTCCAGCATCCAGTGGGACAGGGGGGGTCTTGCTGCTGCTGCTCTTCGCGCGGTGGCGAAGCTGATACCCAGCCTGCTGCCCACGCCTCAGCAGCAGCAGCAGCAGCAGCTGCTGCTGCTGCGCTCCCAAGCCCTCCCCTCCCGAACTCAAATGCTGCACTGGGACGTCCACAAGCCTCACCACCCGCAGCACCCGCAGCACCCCCAGCGCCAGCACCAACAACACCAGCAGCAGCACCAGCACCAGCAGCAGCAGCAGCACCAGCAGCAGCAGCAGGGGGCCTCCTTCGCAGCAAAAGCTGCTGTCTTCGTAGAACGCCTTACTGACGCCCTCGAGGAACATGCGGGCGGGGCCATTCCGCTGTCGAGTGAGGGTTGGGTGTCTGCGCTGTGCGAGTTGCTGCTGCTGCTGCACTTGGGTTTGCTGTCGCACTACGGCAGCAGTGAGACGCAGCAGCTCTTCGTTTCCTGCTGCCTCCTGCGGGGCTTTGCTGCTGCAGCAGCAACAGCACGCAAGGAAGCTGAGAGGCCCCCCAGCAGCGAAGAGCTGAAGCGGCAGGGCAGCGCCTCTGCAGCCCTGCGTCTGCGCCGCGGCGCGTCTTTGGGCGAAGCAGCAGCAGCAGCAGCAGAGGAAGCAGCGCTGGAGGACCTGCAGCAGCAGCAGCAACGCCGCGCTCTTGCTGCGCTGCAGTTCCTGGGAGTTGTGGGCCGCTCGCTTTCGCTGTCTGTACAGCAGAGCCTCACGCGGGTCTTCTTGGGCTGTGGGCAGTGCGCAGCAGCAGAAGACAAGTCGGGGGCCCCCGCGGAAGCAGCAGCAGCAGCAGGTGCTGCTGCAGCAGCAGAGGGGCCCCCCGCCCTCTGGCTCTCCCTCGCAAGGCCTGTGGAGGCCCCCCGAGCAGGCGTGGCAGAGGGGGGCCTCCTTGAGAGTTTGCTGCTGCTCTCGAGGGCCCCCGAGGCCCCTGAGGGGCCCCCCAGGGATGATGGGGAGAGTTCTTTGGGGGGGGAGTGGTCTGATGAGAACGAGGCTTTTGCTGGCAGCAGCAGGCAGCCAGCAGCAGCAGCAGCAGCAGCAGCAGCAGCGGGCAGCTCGTGGGGCGGGTTCGGAGCCGGGGAGGCTACCCGGCGAAGGAGCCTCGCGAGCGCCGAAGAAGAAGCAGCAGCGCCGGCAGCAGCAGCAGCAGCAGGTGCTGCTGCTGCTGCTGCAGTCAGGTACTGCCACCCCGAGCGGCTGCGCAGGGTTGTGGGCTGGCTGGGCAGCAGCGGGGGCACTCTGTGGCTGCAGCAAGAGCTGCAGCCGCTTGTGTTCTTTGCTGCTGATACTGCTGCAGCAACTCGGCCTCTTGCTGCTCAGACAGACACAGCTGTGCTGCAGGAGCAGAGGGCCACAGCGCGTGCTGTTGCACTTGCTGCCAGCAGCAGCAGCAGCAGCTTTGCTTCTTCGTTGCGGCTGCTGCAGGCCGTGGGGGCCCCGCCCGCCCAAAGAAGGTCCTTCGGGGTCTTTCCTTTCTTCAGCAGCAGCAGCAGCAGCAAGAAGCAGCTAGAAGCTGGCAGAGTGCAGCTGCTGCTGTGTCGCACGGCCTTGGCCATGTCTCCTCCTTGGGAGTTGTTTGACTTTTCCGGGCCGTGTCTGCTGTCTGCTGCTGCTGCTGCTGCTGCTGCTGCAGCAGCCACGGCCGCGAACGGCGAGGCCGCGGCGCTGGTTGCTGCTGCTGCTGCTGCAGCACCCGCCACCGGCAGCGAACGCCCCCTGGGCACCTGGCTCTTCGGCAGCAGCAGCAGCACAGCTTCAGCAGCAAGTTATCGAGGACTAGTGCAGCAAGCAAAGCAATCAATGCTGGGGGTTTTTCACCGAGAGGGCGACGACGCGCTGCAGCTGGTGGAGAAGGCTGAGGCTTTCCTGGCCGCAGCAGAAGCTGCTGCAGTTGCTGCGGACCGCCACCACCAGCAGCAGCAGCAGCCCTGCGCCTTCTTCCTCTTTGTTGCGCTGCTGCTGTCTCTGCTTCTGGCCTTCCAAAAGGAGACAGACCACGCCCTTGCTGTCACAGTGGCGGAGACTCTTCAGGCCATGGGCCGGCGCTGGAGGTTGGCAGCACAGGAGCTGTTGCAGCAGCAGCAGCGGCAGCAGCGGCAGCAGCAGCAGCAGCAGCACCACCGCCACCACCCCCACCGCCGGAAGGCCGGCCACCGCGGCGAAGACGACGAAGGCAGCGACGCCTCCGTCCAGGTGTCGACGAGCCGCAGCAGCGGCAGCTTTGCTGCTGCTGCTGCTGCTGCTGCTGTTGGGGCGGCTCCCTGGGGCCCCCCGGGGACGCAGGAGGGGGCCCCCAGGAGAAGCAGCAGCAGCATTCTCTCGGCCTTTGAAACTCCTTCTGCTGCTACAGTGATGCCGCGGACTCAGTGGGTGGAGAGGCACTGCGGCGTGTCTCTGCGCTGCAGCACCGCTGTGGAGGCCGAGGAGGCTGCTGCTGCTGCTGCCATCTACAGCAGCAGCAGCAGCAGCAGCATGGAGTACCTCACCACTGGAGTGCTGCAAGACAAGCACCCAGGACTGCAGGAGCCGCTTGAGGGCCCCCTAGCCGTTCCCAGAATCTTCCAAGAAAAGATCAGCAGCAGCAGCAGCAGCAGCAGCAGCCACGCAGCGCCAGCCCCTGAAGACCTCGCGAACCGGGGGGAAGAGCTGCTGCAGGCTGCTGCTGCTCTGGGGGGGGCCCTAGGGAGAGGCTCAGAATTAATTGTTTCCTTTTTGCTGCCTTTTTGTCTTTCCTGGAGGCCCCACAAAAAGCTGCCTCTCCCGCGGCTGCAGGCTTCTGCGCAGCAGCTAAGGGAAGCAGCAAACACCTGGGATTCCGGCCGCGAGCTGCTGGCCAGAGGTGCGTCTGGCTCCCGCTGCTGCTGCTGCACTATTTGCTGCTGCTTCTGCTGCTGCTGCCCTAGCTGCTGCTGCTGGTGCTGCTGCACTAGGTTCTGATGCTGGTGCACTAGGTGCTGGTGCTCCGGCACCTGCTGCTGCTGCTGCTGCTGCTGCACTAGCTGCTGCTTTTGCTGCTGCGTTAGTTGCTGCGTCTGCTGCTGTGCTAGCTGCTGCTGCTGCACTACTCGCCGCAGATGTAACTGCTGCTGCTGCTTTTACGGTAGTGTAGGTTCAGCAGTGAGGCAGCATTTTTGTTGATGACGGATTTCGCTGCTCAGTGATTTTGCTGCTGCTGCTGCTGCTGCTGCGTGTGCATTCGGATATTTTTCTACAGACCCACTCGCTACTGTTGAGGCCATATTAGGCATTACAAAGGGGCGAACTGCAGCAGCAACAGCAGCAGCAGCAGCTTCTGCTGCTGCCAACGACGACCAGGTGTCTCCCCTTTCAATTGCTGCCTTCAGCTGCGCTGCAGCTGTCCTGCCCCCGCGGCTGCAAAGTCACCATCAGCAGCAGCAGCAGCAGCAGCAGCAAGGCTTGCTGCTGCAGCTCGAGAAGTCTGTCAGCGAAGAGTTGCAGCTCCATAAGGGCCTCTGCTGCATGCTGCTTGCTGCTGCGCTTCACGTGCTTCGCGCGCAGGTAGGCCCGCGCCCGTACTGCAGCAGCAACAGCAGCAACAGCAGCAGCACCTTTCCGACGATGCTTGAACCACATGAGGTGTTCCTCGTTGCCTGCTGCTGCTCTCGTTTCCTGCTGCTGCTCTCGTTTCCTGCTGCTGCTCTCGTTGCCTGCTGCTGCCTGCTGCTTCTCAGGTCCCTGCAGCAGCAGCAGCATATATCCGCACGCTTTATATAAGAGCAGTCTCTGCTCCCCTCAGCAGCACAAACTGGAGGGGGAAAAAGGGGCCCCTCGCGCTGCTGCTGGGGGCCACCCGGGCCCCAGAGGAGCAGCAGGGGGCCCCCCGGGGGCCGGGGGCCCCCCTGTCGGGTTCTCCTAGTCTAGAGGCCCCATACGTGGACAGCCCTCGACACCAGCAGCAGCAGCAGCTGCTGCAGCAGCAGCAGCAGCAAGGCAGGGCGTTCCTGCAGCCGCAGTACCAGCTGGAGCCGCGCGGAGGACGCGGCGCAGCAGCAGCAGCAGCAGCAGCAGCTGATGAGGATCAGATGCAGCAGCAGCTGCTGCTGCAGAGCCAAGATGTTGCTGACAGCATGGCGCAGGTTCTGGGGGACAGCTGCAGGCCCTCAGAGTCTTACCGCAGCATGCGGATGCAGGCTGCAGCAGCTGGTGGCCCCGCAGCAGCAGCAGCAGCAGCAGCAGCAGCGGGAGACATTCAGCAGCTAGCAGCAGACACAAGGGCTGCAGCAGAAGACGGACTTATACCTGAAGTCTGCTTCGATGCTCTTGCTGCTGCAGAAAAAGCTGCTGCTGATCTTGCTGCAGCAGCAACTGACTGTCTCCTTGGGCTGTCTGTACACCACAACACTTGGCAGGTCACCGCCCTTCTACTGAGAGTACGTCTTGCTGCAGCAGCAGCAGCAGCAGCTGCTGCTGCTGCTGCTGTTTCTGCTATTGTTGCTGCTTCTGCTTTTAGTGGGGTGTTCACTGTGGTCCGTCCCTCTCTAGTTCTGCTGCAGTCGCATTCGCTACGTTTACAGGGTTGGTGCTGCTGCTGCTGCTGCTGTTGCTGCAGGCAGCACACATGAGGCTCTGCAGCAGCAGCAGCCCTTTCGTTCGATGGCGAGGCTTATGCGCAGCAGCACGCATTGTGGCTGCTGCTCCCGCCCTTCGTGGGCAGAAGGCTCACGGGGACGAAGACGAGGACAGCAGCAGCAGCAGCAGCAGCAGCAACGACGCTGATGCAAGGGTGTGGCTGCAGCTGCTGCTGTTGCTGTTCCCCAGAGGAGGAGACAGCTGCCTCCAGCTCGCAGCCCTCGCTCTGCAGGCATTTGACGTTCTCGCTGCGAAGGCCCCAGAAGGTCGTGCTGCAGCGCGTGCTGCAGCAGAAGCAGCAGCTGCAGCAGAGAAGGAGCAGCTGCAGCAACAACAGCAGCGGATGCTGCTGCAGGACCCCAGCCAGAATGGCGGTGCGCGGAAGCACGACAGTTTCGGAAGACTGCAGTTGCAGCTAGAGAGCAGGCACCAGCTGCTGCTGCAGCGACAGCAGCAGCAGCTGCTGCTGCTGCTGCGCCCCCAAGTAGCAGCAAGCCCTTCAGCAGCGCACGAGGCCATCTCCATGCTGCTGCTGCCGCTGGCCGAGACAGAAGTCTCCCCAGCCCTTGTGTCTCTACAGTGCCTCACTGAGCTGCTGTGTCCGCAGACTGCTGCTGCTGCTGCTGCTGCTACTACTGCGCAGCAGCAGCAGCAGCAGCAGCTGCAAGCGTGTGAGGGAGAAGAACCTCCTTTCTCCCGCGGTCCCTCGCACCAGCCCCCCGAGAACCCCAGCAGCAGCAACAACAGCAGCAGCAGCTGCTGCAGCAGCAGCAGCAGCAGCGTGCTGCTGTCTGCTGCAGTTGTTTGGGGAGTTTCTCGAGCCCTTTTTGCCACAATGGACTTACGCAGGGAGCGGCTGCTGGCCCGGCGAGCGACGCTGCAGCGGCTGCGGCAGCGGCTGGAAGCAGTTGCTGCTGCTGAGGGCAGGGGCGAGGCAGCAGAGGCAATAGCAGCAGCAGCAACATCAGCTGCTGCTGCTGCTGCTGCGCCTGTCGCCGGCATGCCCTGCGCCAACAGGGGGCCCCAGCAGAAGGGGGCGGCCCCGAAGCAAGAAGGCACAGAGAGAGACAGCGACAGCAACTTTGCTGCTGCTGCACTGGAGCACGAGGCCCAGGCTTTGTGGCTGCAGCGGCTGCAGCAGCAGGAGTCGCAGCTAAAAGCAGCAGCTGTTGAGTGTCTCCGTCGCCTAGCTCTCATTAACTTTGAAGCAGTCCTGGGGCCCCTCACAAGCTCTCCAGGCGCTGAAGCAGCCGTAGCTGCTGCTGCCCCAGCAGCAGCAGCAGCAGCAGCGGCAGCAGCAGCAGGGAAGGAGCAAGGCGCGCTTGCAGCAGCAGCAGGCGACCCCTGGGCGCAGCCACCCCCAGCCCCCGTGTGGGGCCCCAAGGGCCTTGCTGCTAGGCTGCTGGCCCCGCAGCAGTTTGAGGAAGCAGCAGCAGTGCTGCAGTGGAGCGGCTGCTGCTGCTTCAGCAGCAGCAGCTGCCTCCACCGCGGCCTGGCTGGCTGCATAGCCAGCGAGAGGTCTCTTGCTGCTAAAGCTGTGGCTCACCTCACCCGCGTGTGCAACAACTCTCCTGCTGCTGTTGCTGCTGCTGCTGCTGCTGCTGAGGGCGCTGCGTTCTCTGCGGGCCAGCAGCGGGCCATTGTCGCAGCCGAGGCAGCTGCGCAGCACCAGGCCACCCTGCTGCTGCTGCTGCTGCTGCAGCACGAGCAGCAGCAGCAGCACAGATACCGCAGGCCCTCTTCTCTTGGCCGCATGCTGCAGCGACACGCTGCGCCCCTGCTGGGCACGGCGCTGCTGCGGATAGGCATGGCGCATGCAGCAACGGCCAGCCGCACGCAGCAGCAGCAGCAGCAGCAGCGGCGGCAGCAGCAGCAGCAGCAGCAAGAGGATTCATTCAAGGGTCTGCACATCATGGGTCCTGGAGACGAAGTTGTCAGCTGGCGCTGCCTCAGGGCTGCAGTTGAAGGGGGGCCACCCCCGGGGTCGCCTTCAGGGGGCCCCCTAAGCCAGCAGCAGCAGCAGCAGCAGCAGCAAATACCTTATCCAGTTGCTGCAGCAGCAGAGCTCTTGGTTGCTGCTGCTGACGTGACGGGGCAAAGAGAAGCTCTTGCCGCTCTCGACGGCTGCAGCTTCTTAGCAAGGGCCGTCCGCCCTGCAGACTTTATTGGAGCCATACATGATGCTGCGCTGTGCGTTTGCCGCTGCTGCTGCTGCT